AGTGCTAGGATTACAGGCATAAACTCCCCCCAGCATTGTTCTTCTGATATTTGTTTTATATAGATTTCCAGTAGTTTTAGACTTATTAATTGGGACAAATAGGGAAAGTATATCTACTTCAGCTTTCCAGAAACAGAATAGCAGATACTTTTTAACATAACCAAATCTGCAGTCTTATTTTATGGGTTTTAATTTCAAGTGATAAAAAAGATATCCAACATATCCAAGGAAATTAAGGTCAGCATACCGTAGGGATACTTGCATACCCATGTCTGTTATGGCACAATTCACAGTAACTACGATATGGAACCGGCCTAGGTGCCTAGCGACGGAGGAATGGATAAGTAAAATGTGGTATATAAACGCAGTGGAGTATTAGCCATGAAAAAACAAAATGTTGTAATTTGCAGGAACGTTTATGAACTAGAGACTGTCATGGTAAGCAAACTAAGCCAGATTCACAAAGGCAAGTATTACATATTTCCCTTATGTGGAGTCTTAAAAGGCAAAAAGAATGAACGAAAGCAGGAGGGAGACTGCAATTAGGCAAAGGGAAGGGAACAAGGGGGGGATATATGGAGAGCAATGGTGAGCGTGTTATATGCATGTATGAAAATACCACACTGAAATCCAATATTTTGTAAAATTAATATGCACCAATAAAAATACATTAAAAACCATAAAAAGAATGTCCCCATTTCAAGATTGTAAAGGAAATTACCATATTTTCTTCTACAAGTTTTATGATTTCATTTTTTATTTTGTTGCTGATCCACTTAAAACTCATAGTCAGTGTATTATATGGATTCAACTTTTCATTTTTCCAAATGACTACCTGGTTATTTTAACAGCTGGTGCTATTTAATGTACAGATGCTCATAATTATATCTTTGTTGTGGATTGTAGCTTTTAGTATCATAAAGTGCCCTTTCTCACTCATTTAACACTTTTAATCTAAATTCTACATTTTCTAATATTAAGGACACAATCTCTTATTTATTTGTTTATTTATTTGTTTATTTGCATTCAACTGATATGCCTTTGCTGATTCTTCTTTTTTTTCACTTTTCTGAATCTTTAACTTTGTCTCCAATATATGGCATAGGGATTGGATTTCACTCTGTGAGCTCATTTGAAATCTCTTCCTTCTGAAAGATAAGGTAAGTCATGGCTTGCACATCTATAATCCCAGCTACTCAGGAGCCTGAGGCAGGGAGACCAAGTGTGAGGTCAGCCTAAGCAACATAGCAAGAACTTATCTCAATAAATAAAGAAGGAAGTAAAGAAGTGGTAAGTTAAATGTATTTATGTTTATTGATATGAAATATATTTATTCTTAGTTCTATCTTATAACATTCTGTTTACTTGCTCTATATCATTTAAACCATTTCAGTATATTTTCTTTGCTCATTTAAAAAATTATTTTATTTCATTTTAGTTAGCATACATAACTTGTGTATATTAACAGGAGTGATGTTTCAACACATACATGCATCCTCCTTTCATCCCTCCACACACACACTCCCCAGTCTCTAGTAATCATTATTTCAAGTTGATATTTTTAGCTTCCACATATGAGAAAGAACATGGCATCCTGTCCTTCTGTGTTAGGTTCGTATTTGACTTAACATAAGGTCCTCTATCTCAACCCATTTTGCTGAAAATGATAGGATTTCATTCTTCTTTGTGGTTGAATAATTGGATAGATAGATAGATAGATAGATAGATAGATAGATAGACAGATAGATAGATATAGAGGCAGAGACCGAAGCAGAGGACAAACAGACAGATACAAAGACAAAGACAAAGACAGAAAGAGACAGACAAGATAGATAGAGTGAGAGGTAACCAAAAAAATGTATGCACACATGAGCAGTTCACCACACTAACAAACATCTGGAAACTATCACCACCAGCTGGAGCACATTTTGCAACTGAAGAGACGAAGGGCAACTTGTATTAATCTCATGATGTCTCCATAAATTTAGTATTAAAATATTTATACAAGGTTTTCTTTTCCTGGTGAATGCATTTTTGGCAGAATATATATTTTTTTCTATATGTGGTCATCTGTTGATGGCCCCTAGATTGCTCTTTATTTTAAAATTGCTCTACATCTAGAAAAGTTTGTATTTTTATTTTAATGGTTACCAAAATGATATGTTAGATTGTTAATATTACATAATAACACTTGCTCTTTTTTAAATGGTTTCCCTATGAGCAGCAAAATTTTAAAATATATATAACTTGTAGCCTCTTCCTTCTCACTTCTCTCTGTCTCTCTGTCTCTGTCTCTCTCTCTCTCATTGTCTCACTCTCTCTCCCCTATGGCCTAATTTTACACACTAGTGTTCTCTTCCTTTAGCTATACTTACCTGTTTTTCCCTTTGTTTACCTTTGTCCTCTTAAATGTGGTCAAAATCCTGCCACTTGTTAGCTACGCTTTCACTCTAATTGCAGATGAGGCCATTAGAAAATTATTGCTTTCTGTTCTCTTTTCCTGCCTTTGTAAGTAGGTGAAACCTACCTTGTCAGAACATGAAATGTTTACATTCTATCCTGTTGCTGCATGTAGCTCCCTTTGACATTAGCCCTGCAGTAACTTACATCCAATGCTTACCATCACATCTTCTGCTAAAGGTTCCCAACCATGCTCATTTAGGTGAGTCGTATGCTTTAGTGGATTCCTCAGCAGGTGCTCATCGGAACAAATATTGTAGACGTTCCTGAACATTTAAAACCTGTCTTCAGCCTTCATACTTGCAGTATAGCTGAGCTCCATAAGCTTTGCTTCCTATTTTCTTTTATTGAATTTGCTGAGAATGTTATTCCACTGACTTATGACTTTGAATGCTAATGTGAGGAAGTATGACGCCAACCTGATGTTATGTCCTTCAAGGAATATTTCTGCCTAGTTGTGTAAGAATTTTTTCTTTATCTTTCAAGTCTAATCATATTCTGGGATATGCATCAGGACTGACATTCTGTGGCACTTTTCTCTGAAATACTATGTGCTGTCTCAACATGTAGATTGAAATCTGTGTTTGGGCAAAGCTTTCATAAATTACATTTTTAAACAGTTATTCCCTCTTTTAGTTTCTTTCTTTGTGGATCTCATTTATGCATATATTGGGTCTCCCTTCCCTGTTTTCTCTACCTGTAACTTTATCTCTGTTAGAGGATATTTCTTAAGCTTAATTATTATTTTTTAAGCTTAATTATTTTATTGTGGTGAAATATACACAGCACTATTTAAGGTACAGTTCAGTGGCAGTAAGTGCATTTAGAGTGTTATGCAACCATTACCACTAGCCATGTCCAGAAACATTTCATTGTCCAAAGTTAAAATTCTGTGTCCATTAGACAATAACTTGCCACTTAATCCTGCCTCTTGTAACTACTATCCTACTTCCTGTTTCTATGACTTTGACCTCCCTCAGTCCTCATGTATGTGTTTTTTGTCACTTAGACCCATATACTCAAGGTCCATTCATGTTGCTCCCTGTATCAGAATTTCCTTCCTTTTTCCAGGCTAAATAATATTCTGTTGTATGGATGTACCACATTTTATTTATCAATTTATTTCATTGACAGATATTTGTGTTACTCCCACCTTTTCACTTTAGTGAATAATGCTATTATGAACATTGATGTTCCAATATGTTTAGGTCCCTGGTTCCTATTTTTTTGTATGTATACTCAAAAGTAGAACTGCTGAATGAAATGATAGTATATGTTTAATTTTTTGAAGAACCTCCATACTGCTTTCCATGGTGCTTGTACCATATTATATTTCCACCAGTAGTGCGCAAGGATTCCAAATTCTCCATATCCATGCTATTTGTTTTCTGAGTTAAAAAAATAATAGCCATATAGCCACCCTAATGGATGTGAAGCAATATCTCATTGTAGCTTTGATTTGCACTTCCCTAAAGACTAGTGACTCTGAGCATCTTTTCATGTGCTTAATGGCTGTTTGTAGATCTTTAGAGAAATGTCTACTCAGTTCCTTTACCCACGTTTTAATTTGGTGGGGTTTTGTTGTTATTGTTGATGTTATTGCTGCTGTTGTTGAGTTTTAGGAATAACCTGAACATTAATTTCCTAACAGATGTGTGATTTGCAAATATTCTCTTCCATTCTGAGTTCTCTTTTTACTTTGGTAATAATATATTTGAGGTACAAAATTTTTTAATTTGGTGAAATGTAATTTTTCCATTTTTTTGTTTCCTCTGTCTTTGGTGTCACACTCAAGAAACCACTGCCAAATCCAATGCATGTGACTTTCCTCTATCTTTTTAGCTGAGAGTTTTATTATTTTATCTCCCACATTTAGGATTTTGATCCATCTTGCCTTCATTTTTGCACATGAAGGCAGACAAGAGTCCAACTTCATTCTTTTGCATCTGGATAGCCATTTTCTGAGCAGCCTTTATTGAAGAGACTGTCCTTTCTCCATCGAATTGTCTTGGAATCCTTGTAAGTTATTTTTCAAAAGGATAAGATCATGACTTCATAAAAATATAAAATAGACACATCTAAATTATTTTATTCAACTCATTATTGAATGATAAAATCATTACGATATTACAACCAATTTAAAGACAAACTCAAGTAACAGAGACATACATGGACCATGAAAGGAACTTACAAATACATATCTCATTGGCCTTTTTGTGGGGGAGATGGGGTAGAACACACATTAGTTGCTGCTATAAGAAGTTACCATGGGGGTCAGGGATGTAGCTCAGTGGCACAGCACCTGCCTGGCAGGCATGAGGTCATGAGTTTGATTCTTGATTAAAAAGGAAGAGAGAGAGAGAGAGAGAGAGAGAGAGAGAGAGAGAGAGAGAGAGAGAGAGAGAGAAAGAGAAAGAGAGAAAGAGAGAAAGAGAGAAAGAGAGAAAGAGAGAAAGAGAGAAAGAGAGAAAGAGAGAAAGAAAGAAAGAAAGAAAGAAAGAAAGAAAGAAAGAAAGAAAAAAGAAAAGAAATGAAATTATCACGAATTGAGTGGCTTAAAACAGCAAATTTATCAGTTTGCTCTTCTACAGGTCGGATATCTAAAAGAGGTCGACCCCCTCCCTCTGGAGGTTCTAGCACAGAATTTATTCTCTTGTTTTCTTCCAGTCCCTAGAGGCTGCCCGCATTCTGTGGCATGCCTCCTCCAGTCTCCCTTCCGTGGTGGCACCCCCAGTCCTGGTTATGAAGCCACAACTTGAAGGAGAGCTTTACTTGAGCTCACGTTTTTCAGTTCAGAGTTGGCTGGCTCCAAGGCAGGAAGGCACAGTGCAAGGGTCTGGCAGAAGAAATCTGCTCAGAACGTGGCAGCTGGGAAGCAAAGGGCAAAAGAGTCAGGGACACAAACCCTTCCGGGTCACACGCCCCCAAGACCCGCCCCTTCCACTAGACTCCACCTCCTAACAGCAAGTCAACTAGAGCGCCGCCATGACACTTGAGGCTTTAGGGACCATTTTAGATCTAAACCATAATACCTGCTTCTCTTACACTTAACCCTCCTGTCTCCCTTTTGTAAGTCCCTTTGTAATTACTCTGGAGCCATCTAGACAAAGGATCACCTCATCTCAAGATCCCTAATTTAATCACACCACACTGTTTCTTTTGGCATGTAAAATAACATATTTGAGGGTTACAGGAATTAAGATGTGAACATCTTTTTTTTTTTCTTAGTTCTTTGAAACCGGCTCTCACTATGTAGTTCAGGCTGGCCTTGAACTCACTGTGTAGCCCAGGGTTACCTCAAACTCACAAGGATCTTCCTGTATCAGCCTTCTGAGTGCTGGGATTACAGGCATGCACCACCACACCCAGCAGGATGTCAACATTTTTGAAGGCCATCATGCTGCCTATTACCATCAGCTGTTCCTTCCACAAGAAAGAATTTTAACCTGAATATGTATGGATAGGGCCAGGGATATAGCTCAGCTGTACACATGCCTGCTTGGCAAGCACAAGGTCCTGAGTTTGATCCCCAGTACCACCAAAAAAAAGAGATAATATATGGATAAAATCAGTTGCATTGCTAATAGTTATATATAATTTACCAATTTATAAAGTAGAACAAATATACTTAAAGGTACAGATTCAGAATGGTGATAATACAGAAGGGAGTGCTTAGTTTTTCAGTGACCTTCACAGCAGAATTTTCCACTTTTGAAGTGGATTTCTCTTTCCTTCCATTTATTTCTCAACTTCCCCCAGGCCATGATGTCCAGTTGATAACTGGTCATCTTCTTTTGTCTAGTTATTTTCATCCTGAGTTCTTAATTTCTACTTTGTGGTCTTTTTTTATAGTTGGAACTACTTCACTGAGGTTTGGGGGAGGTTTGGGTTTTGTTTGTTTTTTCTTAATATATGTTGGATGATTGGAGTGAATGCAAAAGTAAAGCAAAGCAAATATTTGCTAACAGTTATCAAGTGTCCTTATTTAGTCAACCATATAGGAAGTCCTTAGTTCTGTAATTATACGTCTGCGAGCTACTTCTCACTGGCTGATCTTGAGTTGTTTTTCCTTCATTTAGGCATTTATAAGAAATAGCTTAAGGGTCACTGATGTTTGAAAATTGAGCAAGCGTAAGGTACTTTACAGCCTGACTGGTTTTGTCTGCTTGGATATTCTTCAAAGCTATCTCCATTTTGATTTACTTTAGCACACCAGGCATGGTGGCACACGCCTGTAATCGCAGCACTCGGGAGGCTGAGGCAGGAGATCAGTGCAAGTTTGAGGCCAGCCTGGGCTACATAGTGAGTTCAAGACCAGGTTCAATTACACAGCAAGACCTTGTCTCAAAAATAATAATAATAATAATAATAATAAACTTACTTTAACAGACCCCACACCAATCTAGGTGTTCCCATGACGGTGCGTCAGAGCTGGGCTCTCACCTGCAGCCAGCTGACTTTCGGTAAAGGACATAACCCTCGATAATGAGTGGGCCTCGTCGATGGCATGAGAGGCCTGTGAGCAAGGCTGAGGCTTGTCTGGAAGACAGCATTCCACAGGACGGACTGACGTGCTCTGCTCGAGTCCCGGCTCTGCCTTCCCCGTGGCCTGCAGAGGGACTTCAGTCCACCTCACCATCAGGGGGCCAAGTCCAGCAGTAAAGTCCCCGGCGCTGCTTTTCTGGTGAAGCCCGCCAGTACCCTATATAACAAAGGCAGGCACGCGCCGTCCCTCTGCACCAGCCATCTCACCCACCGGGGCACCTCGCAAGGGCCCACGTGCCAGCCTCGCCATTGCCTCTTGGAGTCCAGGCCCGCAGGCCCCCGGCCCTCTCACCCCAGCCGCCAGCCCAGCCCCGGGGCACTCAGCTTCCCGCCGCCTTGCGTCTGGCACACAGCGAAGCCCAGCCCGCTCAGCCTCTGGCGGGGAGGGCTGGCCGCTCACTCCCCACTTGGGAGCCCGAAGTGCAGTAAGTGCGCAGCATCTGCGTGCAAACTGACCGCAGGGTGCGGTTTGGTATCCTCCTCCCTCCGTCCCTCTAACGGGTCATAGCATGGAACCGAAGGAAAATTAGTTTGCGGGTAACAGTGGGAATTGGATCATCTCTGTAATTTTACAGAGATGATTAGGGCAAGAATACGTTTCCCCTTAAGGAAATAGAAATCTGCTTTTGAGTAGTATGTAGTGGTGAACTGAGTTTTAGTTTGTTTCCCGGTGGTGCTCGGTGCTAGAATACATTCTGCCGTCTGCTGATGCTTCAGTATGTCCAAGAGGAATACAGGGCTATCGGACTTTTCTTCGGGGCCGTACGCAAGCAGTTGGGGGACGCCGGTTGTGCCGCCGCCCGCGAGACTGCCTCGGACCGAACGCCCTCGCGTCTTGCCCAGCGGGGCGGAGCGCCCGACCCCAAAGCTCTCTTTCCCCGCGTGCAGTGCTGCCAAGCTCCAGGTCCTTGGATAAAGCCCTCGGCAGCCTGTCGCACGCGGAGGGCGGGGTCCCAGGGC